AAAGCATCGTTCAAATGCTGCCTTTTCCAGCAAACAACTAAAAAACTTCAAAATTCTCTTATACGCAACACTATTCATATTCAACTGCTTTCGTAATTTTATCACATATTTAAAATAAATCTAGCTAGAATACATGTCTGAAATTCTGAATCCTAAAAATAACACTTGCAATCAGCTTTAGAGCAAAAAACTTTTAGATTTTGTTACCGCGTAGAATCAAAATTGATTGATGGAGAATGAAACTGGGAGTCAAATCTCAGATTGTCATTTGAAGTATTTCACAGTTCTGCCATAAACCAAAAATTATTAGCGATGTTTAACGGGTAATGTTGAGAGAGGATCTTACTTAATAAGAGAAATTATGCTTTTAATTCTTATTAGCAGCATTCATACGAAGCAGCCCTTGTGAATATTCAACAATTCTTTGGGACAGTATAATCTTTTGGGTTATTCATTGTCTGTTTTAATAATCAATACTTTTGAGACAGAAGGCTAACTAGCATTCATCTGCTGTTCAGCATTTCTCTTTTTTTTGGTTTCAGCAGATGTAACTTTTTTCTCTGAAATAATAGTCCAGTCTAAAAATAAGTCAATTTTGAAATGCTGAAGGTTTTTTTAACACCCTATTCTATACAGTACTCCCAACAAGCAGTTTTTGTTGCAACCTCACTTATCTTGTCTACTCCATGTTTTGTTAGAATATTCAAATTCTAAACTATTTTCCTCGCCACAACCTTTCACTTAACTGCAAAGATCTTCTTAAAATCGTTGTTGTCAAAACTAGAATGTCTGCTAGGATATTACCCAGTTTTTCTATTGATCTGCCACAATTTTAAATTTTATAAACTACCTATATACAAATGTTCCGTTTACGGAAGACGCCTCAAAAATATCACATATTTGTCGGTCAAATGCGACCATATTTACACTTTTTTTGCAGAAACAAAAAATTAGAAAAAAAAAATTAAATTACTGTTTTAAATTGTAAGTAAGAATTGTCAAGAAAATTTAAAAAGCCAAAAAAAATGCGGTAAAAAAAAAGAGTAGATGCTCGACTTTTTTTCAGCGTGTTATAGGCTACCATTTTTAAGCAACTTCTCGAATTAAGCAGATCCAAAAAGTAAAATTCGTAATTTAGCCAACTGTTTACTAAAACACTGCAATAATAATTCATAGTCTTTTTCGCCGAATGGAATTACCGTTGCTGTTGAAAAACGAACAAATGGAAAAACAAAAACCTCGTTTTAGTAACACAGTGTCGGAAAGCAGATGCTTTAACATCTTGAATTTCTCGTTCATACTCCTCAACCATAGTTGCACAATTCTGTAACTGTTCAGCACATTGACCACTCACCTAAAGTTTTCTGCCAATAAATCGTTTTGAAAAGTATAAAATTCATCACAAATATCCTTTTTCATTTTTTTCACCCACTAACTATTTCTGCCTTTCAAATTCAGTATGAATCAGTTTGTGCTTTAACAACAGATGCTTCACGCTATAAAAGGTAAATGTATAAGTCACGAGGAACTTCTATACAAATTCATGGCCTTTTTAGCAGCAGTGTAACCTACGAACAAATATTGTAGATAAAATGTCATGAAAAGTCAGTAAAAACATACAAAATTAACCCGGTAACTGTCGAATACTGTAATAACAACAGTTATATATATTCGAAACATTATAGACAGTTGAAGGTACGAAAGTCTCCGCAAAACCAATAAACAGATTCCAAAAACAGATTTTGTGAAAATAGTCAAACTTAAAAACTGAATTTTGTTCCTTTTTCTCTTTTAATTTTTTTTTGAATTCATATTTGCTCTCCTTTAAAGAACATACAAAAGAACCGTCACAGAAGTGAAGTGCTGTTCATCAAATAATTACAGGTGCTTCAGTAAGCAAATTTATAAAAACTGGATTTTCGATCATGACCCATCTTAAAAGTGAACACAAACAATACAATTTCTTTGATTTTCAGTCCTATCACCCAACCTCATTTTTGATTCCAGTGCTTTTTTTCACTAAAATCGTCAAAAAAATAAGCCAATTTTTTTATAATTAGAAATGGGAAAGAACGACCAAAAACAATCTACTGCCTTCCAACTGCAGTAAATTTAAAAAGGCCATAGGTTCCCCAGAAATAAAGGTTTCTGAAGCCCACAAATAGCGAAAGACATTCCGTACGTTACAGGAATTCAAAAAAAAATATGCTAGAAAAAGCCTTTCTAACTGTCAAACTGTTCTTTTCAACCGTCATCAATTAATTTTCAGCAAATTAAAGTGCGACTCTATCTTCACGACTTTGTCCGTCAAAAAACTTCAAGTTGTGCCTTAAATTGACAAAACATATCAAAGTTTCATTCGTGAGCTGTTAGAAAAGCATTTATCGACGAGAAATTAGAAAACATTGCTATTCTTGCAGCAAATTCAACATTTGATACTGTGCAGCTACGAAAACTGTTTCTGTTGTTGAAACTCAAGTTCCAAATACTGCCCTTCGAAGAGTATGACATAGGATCTATTTAAAGAGTAATATCACTAAAGTCAATAAACCTCTGTCACATTTTTCATTCATATTTTTCATGATATCATAGAGAATAGATTAGTCTCTCCCGATCAAACACAAAATTCAGATATCAGATCAAGTATTCTACTACTTCTTGCAGCGCCGTCTACCCCATTGCAGTGCTTCCATTTTTTGCCCTTTTGGCAAGAAAGCAATTCACAGCATTTCAAATCCAATCGATATTTAAAACTCGACATTATTGTAATAAGTGAAATCTGTTGAAGAAAAACCTATTGTTTGTTCCGACAACGAAATACAGAATATAAGTCCCCATCAACTACTTATCGACTTCAAAAAATGCAGAAGAAAAAAAAAACTGTTTTTCTTAAAATGCCCATTGACCCACTATTACATCGCCAAACTCTTTAGACTTTAGAGTTTACAATAATTGTAAAAGAAAATTTTTTTTGCAATTTTATTTCCTCATTAAGACTGCCGAGTGATAAATAGTAAGAGCAGTTACAATTCGGCCTTTAAAAAAATAAAACGAAGCTAAAACTTATTATTTTAAACAGAATAATTTTGGATGCAGTTTTACTTCCAACTTGACAGAATATAAATTTTTAAAGTTTCTCTAATTTGTCTCAAATTTAATGCATCGATCTCTACTGTTTCCAAAATTATAAATCAGTGATAAACTTATATTTTTACAAATGATCATTAGACGATCATTTATCTCCTCAACTTTCCACGAAATCACTTCTTCTTCTGAACCGCCAGCAATCTGGTATGACTTTGCTGAGGTTCACCAACTGAGAAAATAACAAAGTAATTTTACACTGAAAACTATATTCCAAAAAAAAATTTCAAAAAAAAAATTCACTGAAAGATAAATTATTTTATCGTTTTGCTGAAGCACAGTTGTGTCTGCTCATTTAAACAGATGCGGGAAGGAAAAAAGTGATAACACAAAAAAGTAGTCGCTTTCAAGTTCATTATTCTCAGAATGTTCAAAAGTCTTTGAAAGACTGATGGGATAAAATCAGAGGTATATACTTGCCATAGAAACATGGCCATCACTTGGTCTCAGTGACGAAATGAAAGATGAAATTTTGCCAAAACAGTCTTGGACTGTAAAAGCCGGTTACTAAGAGTTCCCTCACATACATATTCTCAAACACGACCAAGATACAGCTATTACAACACCTAGCTTGTTATGTCCAGATTGTTACACCAGATGATCATGCCCCACACTTAATATGTAGACACTTTTCGGATTTACCAAAATTCGCGATATCAATTAAAACTTCAAGAAAAAACTTTGCTGGGCCTGCAGCCTTTATGACGTACCCGGACACTTCTAAGTACTAATCTTATGCGTCGGGAAATTTTAATAGCTGAGAACATCGAAACTAGCCTTGCAGATCATGTTGTTACTGAGGAAAACAAACTGTTTTTCCAGCAGCAGTCTCGTCATTGTTAATAATTGAAATGAATGGCAAGTACTTCAGTGCCAGGAACGTACTATGCGATAACAAACTTGAGAAGTTCCATCTTTCGGAGTGCTCTCTACTCAGGCACTAACTTGCAACCGAAATGGAACTTTGTCAACAGCGACGACCTCAAGCGACAAAGTTAAGAACAAAAGTCAAGGACGGAAGTCAAACTCCATTTAGCCACTCAAGAGACTATTAGCTCTCTGCTAAAACTGATCATCAAGTGCCGCTCAAGCAAATACCCAAGGCGAGTCAACAGTGTGTTCCTGATACTGTTGAATACCTTAGCCATTCATGGGTTTTTGTGAAACAAACCCTTACTCATCCCTCTCATTCCCGCCTCCACAGCCCAAACCATACCAAGGATGCCAAATTCCTTAATCCCAATGAAGTTGTGGTAAGACTTGGCATACACCAGAGGATACCAGAGGAAACTGTTGGTCGAAGAAATATGCTGCCCACAAACTACATCCGCCCTGTCTTCCTTAAACCAAAACCACATAAGCGTGACTCTGTATCTCATTGATCAGTTCCCGCTGAGAACAAACCCCTACAAAACTGTTAACTTTTTGCAGGTAACAATCGACAAATGATTCAGCCACCTATTCAAATCACTATTTATCACACAGACGGTCAGGTCGATAAACCCTACCCTCCAATAAAACGAACTACGAATAAATATGAGGTTTTGCCGCGTCTCGACAACTGTAAAAATGTTCACACTGCAGGAAATAACAAACCAAATAATCCACTCTACTGAATTTCTTCATTTTAATTAAACTTTACTGAAAACCAAACTTATTAATTGATATAACCATTAAGCAACTCAGTTTTAGCAATTCATCCCTAAGAAATTATTAAGACAACTCCCAAGATGATAATCAAAATACAACAAAAAACAATAACATAAGCATTACTTATTAAAATTAAATGTTTCATATGTGTGAGTGCAACGAAAGCAATAGATCACAAACGCATTATTTATGAAAGAACTTCGGTAAGGTAGGCTAAACAACAATATTAGTCTTGCCCATTATTCTTTCAACTTTCGTCAAAAGTCCGATTCAAAACCTTTAAACGAATAGCCCCTGTCCAACTTATACAATCTAATGAAAGAATAAAACAATATGACGTTATGAAAAGACATGGGTTCGAATCACATCTGATAAGCAGTGCCAAGCGGAACTTTCGCTAAAAGAAAGACGTGAGGTAGGATGAAATACACTTCTACTCTACTTGGTAAATATCAGAATTTTTTCTTTTTTTTTCTAAATGACCTCTATCCACCCTCGGAAAATAGGAGTAAGATGGAAATTCAAAAAAAGCTTACTGTGCTGCAAGAACAGAGCAAACTAGAGCCAGGTAATAAAAATTTCTATGTCCAAAACAATTTAAAAACCTCCAAAAAATCTTTTCTAGTCCCTATTTAAACTGCATACCTAAGCACCTCAATTGATAAATAATAACATTGCTAACAGAGAAATGGTGATATCAACAAATACGAATAACACACTCCGATGGAATTTAGTTGTGCATAGTCAGCGCATTAAAAAACGTTAGCGCCTACATGAGTGGAACAAACCACGGCGGCCGTTCTGTTCACAAACCCCGTTATCGCCATATATCGCTTTGTAAGCCATATACTCCTAAAAATTCTCATGTTTCTTTACGCCTCTTAAAGCTCCTTAGTCTTACAATAGACAAAGAAAGAACTTCAGCGTGTCCATCCAGAAACTTCTGTAAAAACGATGGGAACAATTTGAGTGATAAGCACTAAATGGGAAAAAAACTTTGTATGAATGACCCAAATACAAAAAAGTAAACTTCCAACAATGAATGGAGGATCTCAAGCTGAAATACCTTCAGCACTTATTTCTTCAATAATAACAGCATTTGGTAAAACAATAAAAACCAAGTACACGTACAAAGAAAATTTTTTGAGAAGACATCTGTCAAGACGGTGAAATACTACTGATTTACTTACTCTACGACTTACACTAAAAACGACGAATGGAGCTTAATCTAATACTATTGCTTCAAAAATAAAAACAGGATGGGAAAAACAAAAATAAACAACAGGACTAATAAAAGATATAACTCAGACGTCGTGTTCCAAAAATTTTAAAATTCAGAACAGTTACAAACAACCTCAAACTTACACTAACTTCCATGACTAATGCCCCTACAACTAGTAAAAAATAAAAAATCAAGCTGCCCTGTTACAGCAAGTGTCCCTCATATCTTGTCATCTTAAACAGCAAACAAAATACTCAAAAACTTGCATCAAGAAAGCAAACTTTCACTAACCTGGTGGCTCATGTGCACTTTTTCGGATTGAAAACGAATAACATTAACTCTAAGACGCATCTCCTCAGAAATTGGCCCACGAAAACCGCCTTTCCGTATAAGATTATCCAAAGTCTCTACATGGTCCCATCCTTGAATGAAACGAATTTTTACTCAGCAGCTTATTCTGCTAAAATGGTTTCCAAACCTATGAAGACGAATGTTTACCTTGCTCTTTCGCAACTTCTGGTAAATAAACTGCATCTCGGCTCCTATGCTCATCTTGGAATTCTATTCTAAAACGACAAGCAAAATGAAATTAATTTTAAAAAAAGTCATAATGGTGGTCACAACAGTAACGTGGAATTTCGATGTAAAACAGTTCTGGAGAACTTCTCCTAGACAACTCAAACGCTACTTCATTAACACCACAGTATTACTTTCTGTCAAGAGATTCTCTAAACCGAAAAATCACTGCACATAAAATATAAAATCTAGCAGTCACCTTATACCATGCACGCCGACGATCCAATCTCGATAATTCCGCGCCTTCTCAAAATTTATTAATATACTAACCGCGCAGTGCAGATGTTCCACCTCGTGCAGTGCAATTGGATCAAACCGTGAATCTTTGAAAGCACTAAATAGTCAACGACAATATTAATTAAGTTCAACTGAAACAAAACGTTCACAAACTAAAATGTACCAGTTGACAAGGATAACCCAGGCTCAAAAGAAAGTATACCAAAACAAATGATACTCATAAAATACAAAAATATCCTAACCATCAGTCTTGAAACCGCAACAATAAAAAGAACTGATAAAGTTCTAAACCTTATAACTGCGTATTCATGAAGGCCTTTATGTAGTACAAGGTTATTGAAAGTGCCAATACAGCCACGCAGTCTCCGGTCGTAACCCTTTTTCCATGTCACAAACAGCGGGCTAAAATAACAAAGCCATTAAAAAAAAACTAAAATCCACTACTTTTTCAAGACGGGAGTCAATAAAAACAATTTTTATTTGAAAAGACAATTGCTAAATATTTAAAAAACGAAACACTTCCTAACAACTCAAAAATTCACTCTTTTTGAATAATGGAAATTTTTGCAAAATTTATTTAAAATCAAAAACAAAGATCTCTATAAGTAAAACAAGTCGAAAGTGATCAAAAAAGAAAATGATGACTGAAATGGACTATAAAGGAAAAGCCTCAGCTAACTATTTATCATTTGGTATACAAGCAGGAACTTTGGGCGCCTGATGATTGCGTAATGTCGCGTAAATAACGTCGAAGCAGTAGGCTGTCATATGGTGAGAAGCAATTCTTCCGTGTTGCTAAAAACCTTAGGACTTCAATTCTCAACTAAAACGCTACCAAACAAATTCATGAACAGGGACAACAACTGCAGATACTTCTCTCTTACTTAACCAGGAACTGTAAAATTTATGAGGAAAGACCAGTTTCTTGCCAGCTGTTTCGTAAATTAGGACTTCAAAGTAACAATGGAAGAAATTGGAAACAACTTACAACAGGCAAGATGTAACCGTTATCACTGCTATTGCTACTCATACTCGATGTACTGCTGCTACCACTACTCGACGTCATTTTGCTCGGACGCGACGAGCAATAAGAGGCGCCTTTCTTACGGCTGCTTAATGCAACTCCGTTGCTCGTACTGACACCTAAACAACTTTAACTTTTATAAGCGCACTTGCTTGCTCGCAAAAACAAAACAATTCTGAAACTCCTACGCCAAAACTGCTGCATGTTATTATCTAAACACACAAAACCACTCTATAAAAACTGCAGTCCAAAACTTTTCATGATAAGCTAAAGCTAAACTTTGAACCGACAGTGACAGTCGCCACAGCAAGCTTACGCTTCAGAATGACAGTGACACTGCCAGTTGCCGGCTTCAACATTAACAGTGCATACGAATACTATCGTAAATACGTTACTTTAGTAAAAAAGAAACAAAAAACAAAGAACTCATGGAAACAAAGATGACTCTTTCATAATGCAAACAGTTATAGAGCCAATCAATTTATAACAGTAAAAAAATTACTTGAGAAATCCAGCTACTAATGAAAAACTCAAGTCACAGTATTAAATTTTA